ACATAGTGAAATTTCTTTTTGTTGTTGTTGAAACAAAAAAAAAGGTCTTCAATCATTTCCACTTTAACTTAGGTCCATTTTTCTCTTGCTCAGAATGAACTGACACTGGTAAAAGCCCATGGTCACCTCAGAGTCCTCCTTTATAAAGTCTGTCTCCTTGAACCTTGTTTCCTAGGGTGACATTGAATCACTAAAGGATGTATGCACTAAATGTCATGTACATTAGAAAATTTCTTACATAGAGTCTGGTCACGCCAGTGGTGTGGAAGGCAAAGTGTTTATTATCTCAGGGTAATGAGGACTTTCCTAGGAGTTTTGAATGAAATTGGTACACTGGAAACATGGTATTTGCCTCATGACAAACTATTGTGGAACCAAAGTTTGGTATCAGTGGAGAGGCTGGTAAAACTAGAAGGAGGAAAAGGAATTAAGGGACAGTTTTGGAATAAAATGTACTTGGAAAATCAAAACAATCTCATTGACGCATGAGAAAAAACAAACAACAAAGGCCGGAGTCTGTCACTTCTCCTCCTTTGTGCATTGATGGCCTGCTCTTCTCTTAACCTTGCTATTTCTTGCACTTTGAGTTTTCCTGTTGTAAGACCCTTCCTGTTGATAGCTGTGACAGGAAGCACCTTTTCGGATCCCTAATGAGTGTCATCTTCCCTTCCAAATTTCACTGCCTGTTTCGTTTCTCTAAGATTTAGTAAGGGTGAAATAACACGCAACATGCTTCCAGCACAGGGTCCAGCAGAATGTAGGATTTAATCCACAGGGGAAGTCTGTTATTCATACATTTTATTACTAGTGACATATTTACATTCTACACTTTGCCACTGGAAAGCAGTAATAAAGCTATAAGCCAGGTTTCTTTCTTTCCATTGTTTTCTTTTGTTTAACTTTTTACAGAACTGTTGTTAATGCAGCACCTTTTGATGGAAAAAGTATCAGCAAGCTAGTTTCTACGCCTATACTGTGTATGTTGTACAAATCCGTCTTGTTACTGGCTTTGTTACTGTAGGTCTGGGGATGGGCTTTAACTTCCTCCCTCAAACGTCCCACCCCCAACACATGTTTTCAGCCTGACTAGAATAGGCAGTTTTCACTATCTTTAAATCTCAGGGGAACAAGTACAAGAGGAAGATGTTTAGTTTGTTGTAACTATTACAAGATTCTGAATCTCTTTTTAATATTAAAATGCAATTTTAAAATACTAACATTTCATTTTTCCCCCCACAGTGTGTCCCTTCTTTAAAAAAAGTCCAGTTGCCTTCTCTCAGCAAGCTGCCTTTCAAATCTATAGATCAAAAGTTTATGGAAAAGTCAAAGAATCAATTAAATAAGTTTTTACAGGTAAGCAAGTGAAAAGTTTGGGGTATAAGAGGAAAATGAATTATTTGTGGGTAAACTGTCATCATTCTGAGAGCTTACTGTTAAATAATTTGCTTTTTGTTCTTAGAAGTCACGCCAGATTCTAAAATATCTTTGATCTTTTTTTAAAATTCAAATATAATAGACATTTAAGAAATTATACATTGGATTTGAGCTTTATATGAATAGAACTCTGTGGCGCAGATTCCTTTGTGTCTGCCTTCCTTCACTCAGTATTGTGTTGTGAGATTCCTCCCCAGTGTTGGCCTGGGTGTAGGTCACCTGTCTCCATCGTGTGAGCACACTCCAGTCTGTTCATCCCATTGCTGATGGGCATCTGCCCCGTTTCCAGTTGGAGATGCTTACAAAGACTGCTTCTGTCACTTTTACTACTAGTCTTTTGGTGAGCATATGTTGGGAAATATCAAGGGATTGGGATTTTTCATATTTTCAACATGATTGTAGCAATTTTTATACCCTCACAAGCAGTGTGCAAGTATTCTGATGGCTTCAGGTCCTAACCGCTTATTTTTTGCCTTTTTCTTCTAGCCATATGGTTGATGTGTAGGGGTGTCTCATTGTGGTTTTAATTTGCGTTTCCCTGGTGACTAATGAAGTCGAGTGCCATTCCATATGTTTATTGGCTATTTAGATAGTTAAGGTTTTTTTAAGTGAACATTTGTTAAAATTGTCTGTATTACTGAGTTGCCTGTCTTTTTTCTATTGCTTTGTAGGAGTTTTGGGTATGAGTTCCTTGTCAGACCACATGTGCTGCCAGTATCTTCTCCCTTTCTGTGGATTGCATTTTCTCTCTCAATTTTTTAAGTTTAATTCAGCATGGTTTATCCATTTTTTTCTTTTCTCATTAATGCCTTAAGAAATCTTTGCCTCCAGCCTGAGCAACAGTGAGATCCTGTCTGTGCTAAAAATACAAAAACTACAGGGGGCAGGTGCCTATAGTCCCAGCTATTCAGGAGGCTGAGGCAAGAAGATCATTTGAGCCCAGGAGTTGGAGGTTGCTGTGAGCTATGATGCCATTGCACTCTGCTCAGGATTACAGAGTGAGACTATGTCTCCAAAAAAAAAAAAAATCCTTTTCCTACCCCAAGGCCCTAAAATAGTTAACTGATTTCATCTAAACACTTTGCTGTTTTCTGTCAATCCATTTTTCAGTAATAAGGCCAGACGGAAGTGTGCTTTCCCAAGAGCAGCCACGGTTTGTTCCTTCCTTAGCTGTACAGTCTATATCCAAAGTATAGTTATTACTCAAACTGTGGACCTTAAAGCCCTATAGTTCTTGGAGCCATGGAACTTTGCCCCATAAAACACATTTTGCCTGCACAGTAGTAGCTGCAAGTTGTGAGGCTTGCTTTATTATGCTTGGTATGTTTTATCATTTTAATTTTTTCTGACTCATTGTAATTGTACATGTTTATGGAGTATAATTTGATGTTTTGATAAGTGTGTATGTTATATAAGACCAAGTCAGGGTCCTAGCTATCATTGCCTGCATTTATCATTTTTTTATGGTGAAAACATTCAAAAACTTCTCTTCTAGCAATTTTGTAACATGGAATACCTTACTATTAATTGCAGTCACCCTACTCGGCACCAGCACTTACTCCTGCTATCTGACTATAATTTTGTCCCTCTTGACTAACCGCTCCTTTTCTCCCCTCCCTAGTCTCTGGCAATCCCTGTTCTTTTTTTTTAGATTCCACATATGAGTGAGATCATGCAATATTTGTCTTTCTGTATCTCATTTATTTTATTCAGCGTGACCTGTAGATTCATCTATGTGGTCATAAATGACAGGATTTTATTTTTTTATGGTTGAATAGTGTTTCTCTGTATATACATGACACATTTTCTTTTTTCTTTTTTCCAACAGAGTCACAAGCTGTTGCCCTCGGTAGAGTGCTGTGGCGTCATAGCTCCTAGCAACCTCCAACTCTTGGGCTAAAGCAATCTTCTTGCCTCAGT